TAATTTTATATGAATAAATATTATTTCATATTTAAAGCTATTTATTTTAAATAACAAATCACATTTATTTACCTAGTCCTAATCAAATAATAAAATATTGAAATAAAAAGGTAGTGGCTCTTTAAAAACTGGACATTTTGTAAATTGTAACTTTTGGCTCCTCAGTCTCAAAAGGTTGCCGACCCCTGCACTAGTGGAATTGATTGGTAATAGAGAACTGAGAACGCAGGTGATGAAGTATTGTAGTTTTGGAGTTCGGGAGTATTGATTCTTGTGGTATTAAGGTATCGAATCATATTGATTGTTAAAGTGTAGCAGTAGATCCAGGGAAATCGTTGTTGATTGGGAGTACCGTTTGTAGATCTTGGTGAAGTTAAACGAGTTGGTGTCGTAGTTCTAGTGCATCGAGTCTAGTTATATTTAAGTATCGAAGTTTGATATGTGTTGTGAATGTAGTAGATTAACCTTATCGAGTAGTCGAGTTTATCGCTCGTAAGTTGATTTCAATTCAGGAAGGAACACACTACAAAGAAAGGTAGGCGTTCTCTAGCTGAAAAATCTTGTTTTTTAGGAATCTAAATTACCACTATTAAAGTATTAATATAAAATATTAAATAGGATGAAATTTATAACTAACCGTAAACTTTTTTTTTCAAATTATAATTTTTTAATATTTAATCAATATTTCTAGCAATGTCGAAATCAGGTACCCATTTGATTTTTTGAAAGACGTCCCTTGATTAAAGGGATCCAAAATTTTATTTTATACTCTAGGTAAGTATACTCAAGTGAAGTTGTCATCAAAATTGAACAGAAGTATGTTATAATAAAGCTACATTTTCGGACTTTCAAACAAAACCTACGATTAGGTATTCAATTAGTAAAATATATTGTTTTTACAAGCTTTCATAGCTAATTTAAAAGTTTTTTTATAATTATATACGTAATGAACTTTAAAGTGTTTGATTGTGTTTTTCAAACATGTCTTAGTTACACTTGATTAATTTAGCTATTCTTGTGAAAGTTATTTCCCTTGAATAAAATTTTGGAATTTGGATTTTCAAATGGGAGATAATTCGTTGCTTAACTTTACATTCATTTCAAATTCCTGCACCTTAGGTTGACCGCTAACATATAAATACAACTTTAAGTTATTATTTGCTATTGTAAAAATTATATAGAGCTTAAGTTCTAAACAAAATAGTTTGGTAGGTTTTTTTTAAGCATTATTAGGTTGAAAAACAAATACATCAGTTGCCGTTGTAGATTGCAATACTTAATATGAGCCGACATACAGTCTTAGTCGTAAATTAAACATCTAATTAATTGTCTTTTCATATTTTTCACCCTCTCCTAAAAGATTCATATATAACAATTTTAGGCTGGAATCTATCATTTATAACCTTTTATTTTTCAAAAACAAAAAAAATCGTTATATAATCATACAATATAGACATTTTACAATTATAAATACAGGCAGTCAAGCTTAAAACAGGTACGTTCCTTTTTGGAACTCACCTTGGGAGGTCTGAGAGCCCAACACGACAGGAACTGTGTTTTTTTTTAAAGTGTTTTTTCCCCAGACTTTTTTTCACATGGGAGGGGAGGGGGAGCACTCAAAATTTTTCTAAGGGGGGGAGGGGGAGCACTCAAAATTTTTCTAAAGGGGGGAGGGGGAGCACTCAAAATTTTTCTAAGGGGGGGGGGGAGCACTCAAAATCTTTCTAAGGGGGGGGAGCACTCAAAATTTTTCTAAGGGGGGGGGGAGCACTCAAAATTTTTCTAAGGGGGGGGGGGGAGCACTCAAAATTTTTCTAAGGGGGAGGGGGAGGGGGAGCACTCACAATTTTTCTAAGGGGAGGGGAGGGGAGCACTCAAAATTTTTCTAAAGGGGGGGGGGTGTGGGGCGGCTATGTCGTAAAGTACAAAATAGGCTCGTGGACTTAGCAACAATTTCAATAAAATGTGATAACGCTTGCAAACTGGAATTGAAGGAATTAGTACAAACTTTTGAGACGAAGGATGCAAGTAAAATTTGATTTTGATGTCTACATGTAGCCTATGCAATTAATAATAAATTAATATGTCACTTTTAATTAATTGTTTTCTTATACATATGTTTTAGTAATTAATTTGTGTGAAAGGGGGCGTTTTAAGAAGTTTTGCCAAGGGCGCTAAATAACCTGGCGCCGGTCAGGGGAAGACCAAGGATCTCAGCCCAGGTACCGAACTGGTGGTTTCTGGTCAGAGATCTAGGACATGAGGAGATGTGAGGAGGGTTTGGAGGAGTGGGGGGGGGGGAGGGGGTGGAGGGGATGTCACACATTTTTTTACTGTAATGCTGGCATCCATATTGACATTATAAAAAGTAAGACAACTTTTGTTTAAATGTAGATTTTGAACAACAAAAAAAAAGAAAAATTTACTAATAATATTTTTTGTTTTTATGTCTGTTTTAAAAACATGTTCCACCTTTGTGTCTTTTAGTTCAGAGGTTAATCATAATGACCTACCCTCAACATACATTAATTTGCAACATTACACATTGATGGGTACCTGATTTATATGCCAAGGCCATAGAAATAGGTGAACTCTGCTTCACCTGATCCAGTGACCGTCGAGTAAGACAGTAACCTTACTTCAATACAAGTAATTTGATTTGTTTAAATAAATCAATCAACAAAAATTATTTAAAAATAATTTATTTTCATGTTTCTGAAAGCCATCTTCCAGATTATACATTAATTGCAAACTACGGCAAAGCATTACAAAAAACAGGATTTATTCATATAAAAATATAAATGTTCAAATACAAGTATTCAATGTTTTATAACACGCTAAAATCTACAATTAACTAATGAAGATAGTAAGAAAGACATTTCAATATAAATAACACTCTCATTCAAATATGTAAAACATGCTTTTACTATTTTCCCTTCTAGTTTAGTGTTGTTATTTATGAAGCCCCCAAAAATAAACATTGGCGTCCCTTGGGGGTGCGTCTGGTGGTGGTTTTGAAACCCCGGGGCCTAGCACCAGGTGTCACCAACGTGGTGACATAGCTAGCCCATATCTAACCAAAACAATATTTTAACTGCACACACTTGAAAAAAAAACCAAGTTTATAATTTTTTTTTACGAGGACTTATAATGAATTTTAGATTCAGTTAACAGTTATAAACTATCGTACTCTAACTTTTTAAAAACAATAGTACAAACACTAAACATGCTTGAAGAATAGTTTAATGAAACTGAAATGGAGAAGTTAAAAATGCTTAATATGTACAGAACGGACGATGATATTTAAAATGGTGTAAACATTATTTTTACACTTCACATCAAGTAAAAAGTTAAAACTGGAGTCAGTTTAAAAACCCTGTGGTTCACACTTTACATCAAGTAAAAAGTTAAAAACCCTGTGGTTCAAGATGCAGATGGATAAGGATTTGACTGAGTATATGTTGTGTATGTGTGTGCGTTTGTGTGAGTGTGTGTGCGTTTGTGTGTGTGTGTGCATTTGTGTGTGTGTGCATTTGTGTGTGTTTGTGTGTGTGTGTGTGTGTGTGCGTTAGTGTGTGTGTGCGTTAGTGTACGTGTGAGTGTGTTTGTGTTTGTGTGTGTGTATGTGTGTTTATGTCTAGAATAAAACCAGAGATCTACTACACATTGCAAAGACAGAAATCTTCAAAAAAACTCACAAAGACACTTATTCCCAAAAACACATGTTTGCAAAAAAAATAAATAAATAAAAAAAAATCACTCATTTCCAAAAACACAAATTCCCAGAAACAAATAGGCCTACTCCAAACACACTTATTTTTCACAATGACACATTCCCAAAATCACGCATTAACAAACCCAATAATCTTCTAATAGCACAATACATGAGTATCTCTAATCAACATAATGCAGGTAATCATCTCCATTGACTTAACGTAATAGAAACCACCACACTAACTAGACAGGGCAGTGTCCTCAGATGTAGAGTTCTAGCTGAGTTTAAAATATTCGTTGTCAATGGATCGTATGGGATTTGACCTTCTGTTGAGAGATTAAAAATAGTCATTTTAATTACAGCAGTAATTTTAAAACATATTTTAATAGACATTAAGTTTTAGAAAATACATTTTGATTTTCAAAAACATGGAACACGTAATAGAAAACAATGTTGGAGAAATAAGTATTTAAAATCCACGTAGATCTAATAGACTCAAAAGAGTTTGTAGTCAGAGTTCCAGAATATAGTTCATTTAAACATCGGATAACAGCATCATTTGGTACAGCCGTTTGTACAGTGTCCAATTACCTACACAACCGTCCACTCACACAACCGTCCACTTACCTACACAACCGTCCACTCACCTACACAACCGTCCACTCACCTACACAACCGTCCACTCACACAACCGTCCACTTACCTACACAACCGTCCACTCACCTACACAACCGTCCACTCACACAACCGTCCAATCACCTACACAACCATCCACCTACACAACCGTCCACTGACCTACACAACCATCCACTAACACAACCGTCCACTCACACAACCGTCCACTCACCTAAATAGCCGTCCAGACCTATACGACCGTCCACTCACACAACCGTCCACACACCTACACAACCGTCGACTCAACTATGCGACTGTCCACTCACACAACCGTCCATTTACCTGTTTAACCGTCCACTCACCTAAGGTAAAATAGACATCCGGGCTCTTCTTCCCGTCCCCTCCTATACTGTACCCCAACACTCGCACCGAGTAGATGACGTTTGGCTCCACCCCATGCAGGACCCCAGTTCCCGACCGGTCAAATATGGCTATTCTGGCTGTTCTAATATCCTCCCTCACATTCCACCACCAGGCCTAGATGAGTGAATGGATGAAATAACAAATTTTATAATGAAGGTTTTTATTGATAAAAAAATAACATGGTACTTCTTGTTCTTAAAAACGTAGCTTTTGATTAGAACGAAAGACGGCTTGACGTGTACAAAACATGGTCTGGATTTAAAACTTATTGTTCGAAAAAAAACAACCTGGACATTATAGTGTGAGTAAACTAACACAAAAAAAAAATTAAAAAATCGAAATTTTGTTCTGGGCAGCTTTAAAAAAAAATTGTTTATTCTAAAGCATTTTATTTTCACTTTTTAATATGCCAGAAATATATTATTTAAGTTTTTGTGTTTGCTGATACCATGAATAAAACAAAAAGACTTGCCTAAATTATAACGTCTATTGAAAACACTAAACAACATATACTATCAACACAGCCAAAATAACAAGGACCCAACACTCCTGAATTGGACGGCGGGGCCGAATAAGTACCAATTCCGAATATCTGAAATACTCAATAGTTGATAGAAAACTACTCATTCGATATAATACTTATTTACGAAATTTCGTCAACCTAATTGAAACGCAACTAACGCTCGCCCGCACACACTAACACACACACACACACACACACACACACACACATTCATACAGGCAAGATTGAAAAACTAAACTTTTCTGGCTCAAGAAGATAATAAAACGTCAAAATTTGTCAAACACCCCATTTTAAATTTACCCGAAAGTCTCCAATCAAGTTCGTAAAAATGTCCCTGAGTTCACCCAGCTCTAATGGGTACCTGACTCACGTTAGGCGGCTGGGCATAGCACTGACCATACTTTCTCTTCACATGCCTAGATCACAGAAACAGGTGAACTCTGCTACGACGAAGCCTAGTCACACCCCCCTACGAGAAAAAAACTAGACCCACCCCCCTCCCCCCATCTACGAGAAAACCTTGCCACACCCACCTTGTAGCCAATAATCGTCTCCTCCCCTAGGTGGACGACCACGCCCCTCCACGTTAGACGGACACTCTCGTTGCCGTGGGAGGAGACGGTGACAAACTCCGGGTAGTAGCCAGGTGCTGGGGAGAGTCCAAAACATACAGTACATACAGTGGTAGCCTCTTCTTCTTCTTCGTTCTTAATTTTAGTGTTAGAAGGGATCCCCTCAAACACAATTAAGTATACGTGTCAACTAGTTATGCTGGATAATTGTAGGGTGGGGGGGAGGCAGATTTCTGTATAACCAGAAGGAAAGAGATTCAAGAACATGAACCCACCTCTCAAATTTAAATTAAAATTGTAATTATCCGTCTTGGGCCCCATCCCGGCGTGGTTGATGAACTGGATGTTAAAACAGTAGTGGCCCTCCGGTTCCATGCCAATCAGCAGACCAGTGGAGGCGTCGCCATAGAAACGGTTAAACAGAGCCTGGTGCTCGTTGATCCCCAGGCATAGGGTGGTCGGCTCCTCCCAGTAGTTCACCTGTGAACAAAACATCGCTTTGTTTATCCTGGGGTAAGTAAGTAGGGTTCCCTTTCAAATCTGATGGTCTTTAGGGCGAGTGAAGTGAGTTCACTTGTTTCTGTGATCTCGGCATATAGATAGTGTAGTCAGCACCATGCCCAGCCGCCTTTACTTTCCCTAACGTGAGTTAGGTACCCATCAAAGTTGGGTGGACTCAGGGACGGTCTACTGGCTTGAACCCGGATTCGAACTCGAGACTTACGGGTTAGCAGTCCAGCTCTCTACCGCTAGCCGACTCCGCCCCTATGGTGTTGTACATAGCTTAAATCTGATATACCCGAACTTGTAAATGCGTTGTATGTCCCACACTTTTTCATATTTTTTGTTAGAGTAAATGTAAATTGTGAAGTGGAAAGGAGAAATTTTTATGGCATTTACCACAAGTTTGTATGGGGCCGTATGGCTTAGCGGTAGAGTGCTAGACTGCTAACCTAAAAGTTTCGCGTTCGAATCTGGGTTCAAAATCATAAGAATGTCCCTGATTCCACCCAGCTCTGGCGGATATCTAACGCACAGTAAGTAAAGTCTACTGGGTATAGTGTTGACCACGTTATTCAATCATGTTGCCAGGTCACATAAACAGGTGAAATCCACTTCACTTGCCCCATAGACCGTCAGGTTCGAAATGGAACTTTAATTTTTTTACCACAAGTTTATAACACTCTCAGTGCTCAGAACATATCTTCATATTTTGGGATATTTAAAAAGAAATTATTTGGAACATGTTGGGAAAAGTTGTGGGAGGGAGGAAGGCATGACATGACACACTGGTAGACGTCAACCACTTGACACTCCCGTACTAATGTACCCCAAATTGACGTAATTGCATAGACGTTCAAATAAATACATTGTTAAAATTTTAGTCTTTGGCTACCTGTTATCACATCAGTATTATATATTATGAACTGACCACCACTTGACAACGTGGTATAAACCTGTACAAATTGGCAACCATATAGTTATCTGGTAGAAGCTTACCACCACATAAGTAGGCCTACCTGTGCAAACTGACCACCAACTAACTAACCGTCCGAACTAACCACACAAAACTACCTTGTACAAACTGACCACAAATAGCTACCTGGTACGAACTGACCACCACCTAACTACCTATACAAACTAACCACCACATAACTACCTGTATAAACTGACCACCACATAACTACCTGTATAAACTGACCACCACATAACTACCTGTATAAACTGACCACCACATAACTACATGTACAAACTAACCACCACCTAACTACCTAGTACAAACCAAACTGACCACCACTTAAATACATGTATAAACTGACCACCACATAACTACCTTGTACAAACTGACCACCACATAACTACCTGTACAAACTGACCTGATAAGCAAAGACCGTCCCCCTAGCGGCCTCCCGTGTGTTAGGTACAGGCTCCCACGACACAGTAGCTGCTGTCCCATTGATGACCTCAAAGGAAATGGACGTTGGCGTCAGGTTGGGCACTGGAAATAAATATTTATAATATAGACAAGCTTATAAATAAATACATAAATAAACAAATAAATAAATAATAAATAAATAAATAAATAAATAAATAAATAAATAAATAAATAAATAAATAAATAAATAAATAAATATATATATATATATATATATATATATATATATATATACATATATATAGGCTATTTATCTTTTTAGTACCATTAACTAAACACTTATGGGCCAATGATTGATCAAAATAACATAACCTTCTGACTAATCGCTCAACGAACTTCATTCTATAAGAGACCCCAATATTACCGTATGATTTCATAACCACTGGGCAACCATCTTATCCCCCTACCCTCAAGAAAATATCATTTGGCCCTCTGAGTATTTGATCTGAGCACTCTACCTTCACCCCCCCTCCCCCCCCCCCCCTCCCCTTGAGCTACTTACTGTCTTCCGCCGAGTAGACGATAGCTACAGTAGAGTTAGGTCCCCTGCCCTTGTCATTCACGGCTTGAACTTTGACCTCGTAAGGTGTGTAGTAGAACTCTACTCCAACTACAACATGAAGGTATGTGTCCTGAATTTCTACTGGCTGTAAAAAACGCTTGTTAAAATTAGCATGCTGGGTATTTATTTCATTCTTTAACTTTTTGCTCAAACAATCCAATATTTTTGGGTTTTTATTTGTTTTAACTTAAAACAGCCTACGATTTTCAAGAATAAAATTAAACCCACAATTTTTGTTATAGTTTCAAATAAGCTTACATTGTTTCATTTTAAATGCTACATATTATTTTATTGAGAAACCTTAAAAAAATAGTTTATAGTTAGAAAAGTGATGACAGTTTAACGAGAACACAAAATTGAAGTCTACGCCGTCGTGTAAGAAATAATTTAAAAAATAACCAAACTGTTTTATGGTCAAACGTTTTTCTAATGTATGAAATGTCTTGGTTACTAAAAGTGTCTCATTTAAACAGGAGTATTCAGATTTACATGAGGACTATAGGTTACCGGAAGACTCTAATTTACAGAAGTTTACATTACATAAAAAGTCTAATTTACAGGAGTCTACATTACATAAAGAGTGTAATTTACAGGAGTTTACGTTTATTAAAGAGTCTAATTTACAGGAGTCTGTTACATACAGTCTAATTTACAGGAGTCTATGTTACATACAGTCTAATGTACAGAAGTCTATGTTAAATAAAGTCTAATTTACAGGAGTCTGTTACATACAGTCTAATTTACAGGAGTCTATGTTACATACAGTCTAATTTACAGAAGTCTATGTTAAATAAAGTCTAATTTACAGGAGTCTACGTTAAATAAAGTCTAATTTACAGGAGTTTAGGTTAAATAAACAGTCTAATTTACAGGAGTCTACGTTAAATAAAGTCTAATTTACAGGAGTCTACGTTAAATAAACAGTCTAATTTACAGAAGTCTATGTTAAATAAAGTCTAATTTACAGGAGTCTATGTTACATAAAGTCTAATTTACGTGAGCAAGGCTACACGAGGAAGCTTAGCTTTGGTAGGAGTTTAAGTTATATCAAGAAAAATGTAACTAGAGCTTCTATGTGTGGGTATCATTAACTGACGAATACAACACTATACGGTTAGGTTTGAAAAGTTTATGGTAAGTTTTAGGCTTGTACAGGAAGTGGATGTGTCAAAACCGAAACTTACTGTTTCCCATTTTCGACTACTTCCTCCTTCTGTTTGTCTCCGGTAGTAGGGGATGTATCGGACGTTCGGCCCGCCCCACGCGCTCCTGGGTAGAGGCTAGGTGTGTGAGACCAGAGGTTTAGCGTTAAACGATGCTAAATTCGTCATGTAAACATTAGCTTAATAACTCATTGAATTAACCTCAACGTTTGGTGATTATCACAAATAAATTGACGTAGCATAATATGTACTCCAATGGTAAGCTTAAAAATCTTAACCATATAAAGATAATTATTTAAAGCTACTATTAAAGGCACTCAAGTAATCATAAGACAAAACTCATATCTTCAACACATCAACTCACATCAAATACCATATTTCTTTAGCAACAATAAAGCGTGAAAATAATCGCTTCAAGAAAATATTTTTAAATACTAAAAAAAAAAAGAAAAAAAGAAAACCAGTAACCTACATTCCAAGTAATAATCAGCTGTCCCACACTTCCGCCCCCACCCCCAACATTTGTTGGAGCCTCTATAGGGGGGGCTGATACTATGTAATACGATTCTGGAACAAAAGTAATAGTTGTATACTAAATAAAAATCAAAGCATATATTAAACAACACTTCGCTGAAATATATTAGTTTTAAATTACTTTCATTGAAACCAAGAACGATTTCATGCGAATCTCTGTCAGATACTTTGTTCAGAAAAGGCTCTCTTTCTTTCTCTGACTCTTTCGTTTTTCTTTCTGTCATTCTACATATCTCTCTCTTTATCTTTGACTCTTCTTCTCCAACTTTCTTGTTTCTCTCCGTCTTTATCTCTCTCTCTCTGTCTCTAGCTGTCTTTCTCCCTGACTATCGTCTTTTTTACCATGTTTCTCACTGCTTTCTTTATCTTACTCTCACTATCTATCCGTCTTTCCGTTTTTCTGTCCGTCTTGTTTGTCTTTCACTGTCTCTGTCTCATATTGTCGACTGCTAGCACCCATCCCAGGTCACCACTTCACTCTAGGTCTATCACACCACAATAATAAATACATCAATGTTATATGTGATACAAATGGTGCTTTTTGGCGAGAGAGACGGAATAATTAAACATCTGCTTCATACATTTCTATCCTTCTTTGAAAAGTGTCCGGAATTAAGTATTCAAATATTCAGTTTCCCTTCAGATCAGTGCTGACGTAGAGAAATCTAACGGAAAGGGTCCAGATAAGGTCCAGAAAGGGTCCGGAAAGGGTCCAGACTCAACATTTTAAAGTGACACCCTAGTTTTAATAATTAACCCTACCCCCACCCCTACCTAACACAAGGATAATATTTTTTTTTTCAATTTCAGTTAAAATTAATACGCCGATTCTAGCCGGAAAAATATACGCATGTGTAGTGGAAACTACGACTTTCCTTCGTCGCGATGTTTACAATGATACTGCGCATGCATGTGTTTACAAACAAACCGCAGAACCCTAACCCTAACCCTAACCCTAACCCTAACCCTAAAACTAACCCTAAAACTAACCCTAACCCTAACCCTAACCCTAACCTTAGCTCAGCTAATTAAGGTAGAACTATCTTTTGCCGACCAGATCGAGACGCTGGGGCGAAAAATCTTTTTCCGAGTAGTGACTTCGAAATTCAAAACCCTGACTCACGGTAAGGTCCGGTGCTGGGCTCTCCGTAGCCCGTCTGGTCGTTACCAGCACTGACCCGGAAATTGTAGCCAGTGCCGGGAGACAACCCCTCCTTGATGTCGAACTTCCGCCAGGTGGGGTAGGCTTCGATGTTTGTGTCTTGTACTGACACACCTGATCAGGGATGGATAAACCAGTGATGCCAAGCATAAAAAAATGAAATGATTCCAGACATATAAAAACTATAATTTTTTAAAAAGAAGTAGTGAGTAGTTTAGTTCGGGTGAAGCGGGTTTAGGGTTGGGTGTTTCAATAAGCCTTGAAATAGAACAGTACAACCACAATGACTCATCACATAATTGAACTTAAATGAATGAGAATCTAAATCGAAAAGCTAAAACATTCACATTTCTTTAGCCATAAACGTAAGTAGGCCTACCCAACTAAGTCCTTCGATGACAGTTTAACCTTTAACCTTTTAAGATCCTTGACCTTTACATGTTGCCATTATTATTGATTTAATAGTATTCGCGACAAAACGGTTATTTTATGTGTCTGGATCACGCTATTTTAACACCGATTCGAGGCAGGTACTTATTAAAGCTGAGTCGACTCAGCGTCATCTTTAAGGTCTAAAGTTAAAAATAGAAGATCGACCCCTAAGGGTTTCTTTATAACACTCTACCACTGAACCATATATACCAACTTTTGTTGTTATCATACACGATACTACAAAAACGTTTTTTGTGTTGCTGTTTATTTTTACCTTCTTTAAGAATTTTCCACTCCTGGTCATACTGTGACAAGTACTCGATGCTATATTTAGTAACAGGGTATCCCCTGACCTCGCCATCATGCCACCACAAGGCGATGTTGTCTGCTAGCTGCCCCAGGGTTTTGTCGATGGGCTTCACGTGGACACCCATGGGCTCGCCCGGGGGGCCTGGGTACATTCGTTACAAAAATATAAGTAGAATGCATCATCGATAAAGGTGTCTGTTTGTCATAGCTAGATTTTCGAATTGATGGTATTGCCGATAACGATGCATCAATTGTAATATATATATATATATATATATATATATATATATATATATATATATATAAATTGTTCTCTGCCTACATACTATTTTACAGCTCTACACATAGTGCAGATTCTCTCCAGTAGCCAATCAGACAAACAAAAAAAAAATATTCAAACATGTAAACAAACTTGAGTTTTAGTAGTATAAAGATAAATAGTTCATATTTTTTTTTGGAAAACCTTAAAGGGGAAAAATATTCAAGAAAGATAATTACCATTTACCGTAACATAGGCGCTAGCAGTTATCGACCCTGTCGTCGTAGTTACCACACATGTGTACAGCCCGGCATGCCTGAATTGAGCCGCCATGATGTACAACATGCCAGATTCTTGGTTCAGTGAGAAAGGCTGTAGTAGAAAAGGAGAAAAGTTTTTTCATGATGATGAAATAATTTTTTCCCAAATTTTTTATTTGAATAAAAATATCAATAAAATGTTTCAATAAACAAAAGGTGCTTGAGAATTATTTTGAATTGCATGAGGAAGAGAAAATTAATATACTAAACTAAAAGAAAAAATATTGAAGAAATATTTTATAGATATGTTGTGTTTATAAAGCTTGTCAAGAAAGAGTTGAACAATAGCAGGTGCACAACTGTCTTACTCCTAGCACTTTTACACTCTTTTTATTTTAGTACTTTTAAAAGCTTTTTAAAGCATTTTCTCTACTCCTTGGCACAATTTGTACATATATTTAGCACCTGCACATTGCGTTTCCCTTGTGATGAGAAATAAGTTGTAAATGAGCGTTTCTTTAGAGACAGAGAACATCAGAGTTGAGAATTTTTCACAACATAAACACCATCTATGTATATAATTCTTTTCTTGGATACCCTAGAAAACACCAAGCTGTAAGCGCGCCTATCAGCCCCCTTGCTTCCTCTCTAAGCATATCCCTACCCCTCCCCACCCCCACTTGGTCTGGTGAGCTGTGGTTCACGCTAAATGTGTACAATCGTAGAGCCGGGTTTAGTGACGGCTATTACGGGCAGATAATTTAGTTTCATTTTAAACTTAGGGGAGGTAACTAAGAGGAGGCTGCTTTCACGGGAGGGCGGGGGGGGGGGGGGGGGGGGGGTAGGGTAGGGGTTGGGGTTGGTTGAAAGGAGGGTGGGGGGTATCGTCCTTAACGACCTACTAATAGTGTTTTAAAGCAAATATTTTCAATGGCAGCATTGGTACTGTCGAATTCACAAATTATGAATTACTGAAAAGTAGAAAATAAAACAACTAAATAGCGGCGTATGATACGCAGCGGGTCGGCTCGTGAGAAATATGCTGCCACTGAAAATATTTGCTTTAAAACACTAAACCCCCCTTTCCTCCCCCCCCCCCCGTGAAAGCAGCCTCCTCTTAGTAACCTCCTCTAAATTAAAAATCGTTTCACACTAAATTATCTGCCCCTAATAGCCTTCAACAAACCCGGCTCTATGATTGTAAACATTTAGCGTGAACCACAGCTCATCAGACCATGTGGGAGGGGGGGGGGGTGGTAGCTATGGAGAGGAAGAGAGGGGACTGCAAGGCGCGCTTGCAGCTTGTTTTCTAACGTCTCCCAGAAGAGAATTATATATATCAGGGGTCTCCAAACTGTTCAGTCCGAGGGCCGCATTAACTATCAAATTTCAGTTTGGGGGCCAGTTTCTTCCCCGTATGTCAGGGGTGGGCAACCTTTTGAAGCGGAAGAGCCAAAAGTTACAATTTTCAAAATTTCCCTGGTTTTAAAGAGCCACTAACATTTTTTTATTTCAAATATTTTATTTTTTTATTAAGATTATTAGTATTTGTTCAAGGAGCTGGAGAGCCGCATCTTGATATCAAAAGAGCCGCATGCGGCTCGCGAGCCGCAGGTTGCCGACCCCTGCCGTATGTCTATGATTTTTCTGGGCAAAGTTCCTCAGCAATCACCGACAAACGATTCTGATATTTACATTTGTGAACAAAAATAAACGTTCCAACGTATCTGTAACCTGCGCCGCTCATCATTGATTCAATTGAGTTTAAGCTTAAATATAAATCCTGTTTTAGATTTGGTTACTGGTTTTATAATTTAAAATAGGATAATATATAATTTTTAACTTAATTAAAGTAAATTTTTTTTGACAAATTATCAAATGAAATAAAATTCACATTATTTGTAAATAAAGAAAATATTGATGTCTGTTTTTTCTTTGGTAAACTCTAAATTGTTCTTCATTTTATTTATCTCTAAAAACTTGGGAGCAGGTTATCTTTCTTGGTAGTTTAAAATTTACGAATGAGAAGGCATTCATAATGAATGTAAAATAATATTCTTTTAATTTTATTTATATCTATTAGTCTACAGTTATTAATGCGCTGTTATTTTTTTTTAACTTCTTGTATGCAGAGTTTGGAGGAGGTATTGTAATTGTGTTGAATAATTAACAGCTTTTGCGACAGTTTTTACAGTTTTACACCACCCTGTGGCGTCGTATATATGGGGTAGGCTATATAAAAGATGTTTAGTAATCGTGCGAAAATTTAAATGGGGTGTTTGACAAATTTTGACGTTTTATTATCTTCTTGAGCCAGAAAAGTTTAGTTTTTCAATCTTGCCTGTATGAATGTGTGTGTGTGTGTTAGTGTGTGCGGGCGAGCGTTAGTTGCGTTTCAATTAGGTTGACGAAATTTCGTAAATAAGTATTATATCGAATGAGTAGTTTTCTATCAACTATTGAGTATTTCAGATATTCGGAATTGGTACTTATTCTACTTTTGGCTTCTTAAAAGAATATACCTAGAGCTAGGTGGACGAAATTTTACGTATAAATATTACACTGTATTCGCATGTTTCTTTCGGTTTTCCAACGCTTTCTGAATAGGATGTCTGATAACCAACACGCACTCATCTAACATGGTATAACGTACACGCCCACCTACCATAGCGTAATGCGCCTTATCTCGACCTTGACCTTCAGGACTGAAATCGATGACGTGCGAGAAGAACATCCAGGAGTAGGTCACGTCCATCTTGTTGACGTCATAGGACGCGCGACAGGGGAGAACACCAGTAGCGTTGACCTCTATGACGAGGTCAGTGGGAGTCTCGACCAGCACCATCTCGCCTGATGGTAACATAAGGATGGAAGGAATTTAAGACTATTTCAAAAAGGGAAAGGGGAGGGGGGGTCTCGGTCAGCACCATCTCGCCTAATGATAACATAAGGATGGAAGGAATTCAGGACTATTTCAAAAATGGAAGGGGGGCGAGGGGGTGTCGAACAGCACCATCTCGCCTGAAGATAACATAAGGATGGAAGGAATACAAATAAAACATTGTCAATGTTTGTTGTGATAGGGTGGTAGTTGTATCAAGACTAGAACTATCTCGCCTGATGATAACATAAGGATGGAAGGAATACTAGACTATAAAAATGTGTGAAAAGGGGAGGAGGGGGGGGGGGGGTCAAACAGCACCTTCTCGTCTGTTGATAACATAAGGATGGAAGGAATTCAGGACTATTTCAATTTGTGAAAGGGGGGGGGGGCGGCTTGACCAGCACCTTCTCGCTAGCATACAGCTCAAGTATGGATGCATTATAAGACATTGTCAATGTTTGTTGTGGTAAGGTAGGTATCTAGACTAGCACTATCTCAACTGAAAAACAAACATAAGTATGGAAGCAATGTAAGTCTATGTTAGTTAGATTACGTTTATAAGAAATCTGGAATTTCTATTTAAAAAAAAAGTATCGAATGAAGAAATTTTTTTACTGTTAAGTTAAAGGTTGGTTCCACCTTCAGGGTAACAGTATATGATCAAATGGACAGAGTTTTTGGTCAGAGGAAACGGGGTTTGGTTTAATACCCGTTAAGGTTATGTCTCTTCTATGATTATGGTTAGAGTTAAGGTTAGAGCAAGGGTCAGTTAAGATTAGTGAAATCAGTACAATATGTCTTGGTTGATAAAAGTCTCGAGTTCAAACCCTCTGGCAGATAAGGCTCGATCCCCTCCAACACTAAAAATTAAGAACGAAGAAGAAGAAGAAGAAGTACAATATGTAATTTAGATCCCGCCTTGCTGGCGACAGTTAATCCATGAAGTTAAAAATAAAATATATTTACCTTGTATCATCAGCAAACAGCTTGACTCTGCTTCACCTAGATCGTTAGTCGCCACGCAGGTGTAGATCCCAGCGTCGGCCTGTGTGAGGGCTGTCAGCTCCAGCGCCCCACTGGGCAGAACCCGCCCCACCTCGGCGCCATTTTTCACCCACTTGATGGTGGCACGGGGCGCCGCCTGGGGGAGGCAGGGGATGGTCACGTTACCCCCCAGGGCGGCTTGTTTAGACGCCTCCACCGGGCTGGCCCAGAAGGTCGGAGCTAGAGCTGTGGGGGTGAAAGGGGAGGGGAGGGGGTGGACGGTGTAATTTGGGTCAAAGCAACTGGTTAGTATTTCAGGTTTTGATTTAAAAAATCCGATAAAAATTATACAAATGTCTGCCTGCAGAGTTTCTTCCAGGCATCTCTTCGGCGAAGAAAGTCTACCGCCCCCCCCCCCCCACCTCGAACGAAATGGAATTTATATAGAAAATATATACTTTTACCAGTGTCATGTTGACCCCCCCCCCCCCCCACCCAGGAGAAAAAAGTCTCGAAGAAACTCTGCCTGCATGCAATACCTCAACTTCATACAAACACATCACATTGAGAACTGCATATTCATTCTTTGTGGGATATAATTTTTATATAGCTGCGTCTAACCTACTCCCAATGCTGAAACCACTTAGGGGTCATCCATAAATGACGTCACGCTTTTTTTGACGATTTTTACCTCCCCCTCCCCCTCCGTCATACGTCGTCACAAAAAGCCAGACCCCCCCCCCTAAAATGACGTCACACCTCAACCTACAACCCCCCTCAAAATTGCAGTAAAATTTTTTTTAAAACATCGATATTTTTCTAAAATCTTGTCTAAACTGTTACAATTTATTAAAACAGTTATCTAAAATGTGAAATAACGTCTAAAATTCGTTTTCTAACATTGCTTTTTTATAATGCAAAAATGTTACGTCGCAACATCTGACCCCCCCCCCCTCCCTCATCACACATCGTCACAAAATTACGGATCCCCCTCCCACCTACGAGTGTGACGTCATTTATGGATGACCCCTTAGACAGCTTAAGTCCTTTAAAGATCCCTCACATTGTTGAAGATAATTTGTTCCATATTTTTTATATATAATTAAAAGCTGAACAATGTAATTGTGTGTCGCTCTAGAATCTTCTGAACATAGCCAAAAACATTCAGCACATATATTGACACTGACACTACACATAGATTACACTTGTACATATCATATCAGTCATATACTTACATACGCCTACATTTTATGCAGCGTTAATCCTATCTTACACATATATGTACTTTAACACACAGTACATTTACATACATCCTGGCTATCTTACACTTACATGCACTTAAGCAAACGTACACTTACATACACATCAGCTAGCGACACTTACATACTTTCGATGTAGCTTAAACTTACATACATCTTGGCTATCTTACACTTACATAATTTCGATGTAACTTGCATACATCCTATATCGATTACACTAACTTAGGTCTGGACTTTCTTACATGCACTAAATCAAATGTACACTTACATGTATAATATGCAATTACCTTACACATAAGTACATCCTTGCTGTCATACGCCAACATACTTTTGATCTAGCTTAAATTTAGATACATCAGTGACAGCTTACACTTACATGCATCCTGACTATCTTTCACTTACATGCACTTAAGCAAACGTACACTTACATACTCCACAGCTACTAAGCACTTACATACTTTCGATCTAGTTTACAATTACATACATCCTGGCTACCTTACACTTACATACATCTTGGCTATCTTACACTTACATATCGCCACATCAACCGAACACTTACATACTTTCGATCTAGCTTACACTTACATACATCTTGGCTATCTTACATTTACATACATCTTGGCTATCTTACACTTACATATCGCCACATCAACAGAACACTTACATACTTTCTATCTAGCTTACACTTACACACATCTTGGCTATCTTACACTTTCATATCGCCACATCAACCGAACACATACACACTTTCTATCTAGCTTACACTTACATACATCCTGGCTACCTTACACTTACATACATCTTGGCTATCTTACACTTACATAAAGCTCTAAGCTGAGCACTAGATCTTGCTGTGCCATGTATGTTGGTAGCCTCGCATTGATAAACTCCGTTATGTTTCTTCGCCTCCACTTTCTCAAAATTCAAAATATTCCGAGTTACCTGAATCGTAAATTAACATTTTTAAAAACTTCATAATTCATCTTATATATAGATACTTGCAATTAAATAATATTAATCACTTAAATCCTAATTACCTAAATCTTAATTACTTCTAAAAACTAATTTCACAATTACCTAGATCCTAATTTAGCGAAGTATTAAATTTCTTTTCTTATCATAGAGTTTTATTTTATCCTGCACTTGATATATCCATACAGTAAAATCGAGCTGATTTGTTTCCGAAAGTTTAAATGAGAAATTGTGTCTTAGATATTTGTGATATTTTTATAATGTAATCGAGTCTTACCTGTTTGTTAAATATCTTTTCTTTAAGAATCGTCAAGAATAAATTACTTTCTGTTATTTCGGGAATATTTATTCTGCGATATTTAGTCATTGAAAAGCTGTCAGTCAAACTTTTTATGAAACTACGAATGTTGACCTATCCCAATACTATTGAGACCACTCTACCTTCACATAAATCAGACGACTGGGGTTCAAGACTCCTCCCCCGTCCTTACATTTACGCCATCTTGAAAACGCCACATGACTTTTATCCAAAGGCTTTTTATCAAAGAACCCCCCCCCCCCCCACCTTCCGACATTCCGACATACCTTTACTCCGTCCAGTGACCCGGATGTGATGACGTCACCGTCCTTGTACCACTTGTAGGTGGGTTTCGGCACCCCAAGGGCGTTGCACGTCCAGGTCAAAGGTCGACCTTCATCGGCGTGCTGGTTGAGGAGAGGGTAGGGGAAACTTGGCCGGGCTGGGGAGAAATTTGGCGTCACGGTTATGTCAAGTTTCCTTGTCAGAGCTTATTATCAGGGGTGGAGATCAGAGCTTAACATCGGGGGGGGGGGGGGGGGGAGGCGGAGATCAGAGCTTAAGGTTAGGGGCGAAGATCAGAGCTAAACATCAGGGGTGGTGATCAGAGCTTAAAATCAGGAGGAAAATCAGAGCTTAACGATCAGAGCTTAACTTATGGGGCGGCTATCAGAGATTAACATCAGCGGAGCTTAACACCAGGGGCGGAAATCAGAGCTTAACGATCAGAGCTTAACTTATGGGGCGGCGATCAGAGATTAACATCAGCAGAGCTTAACATCAGGGGTTGAAATCAGCGCTTAACATCAGAGGCGAAGCTACATATCTGGACTGAGAGCGGGGATACGCAACAGGCACCAGTGGAGTTATACCTACTTTATCACCAGTGGAGTTATACACTCCTTTATCACCAGTGGAGTTATACACTCCTTTATCACCAGTGGAGTTATACACTCCTTTATCACCAGTGGAGTTATACACTCCTTTATCACCAGTGGAGTTATACACTCCTTTATCACCAGTGGAGTTATACACTCCTTTATCACCAGTGGAGTTATACACTCCTTTATCACCAGTGGAGTTATACACTCCTTTATCACCAGTGGAGTTATACACTCCTTTATTACCACCGGAGTTATACACTCCTTTATCACCAGCGGAGCTGTTGTTCATTTATCAGGGCCGGTGCTATACATTTTTTATTAAGTCCTTATTTAAACGAAATGTCCTATAATAAGAAAATGTCTTACATAGAGCAAAATGTCCTACATTACACAAAATGTCCTACATTACACAAAATGTCCTACATTACACAAAATGGTCTACCTCAAACAAAATGTCCTACATCAAACGAAATGTCCTACATTAAACAAAATGTCCTACATTACCCAAAATGTCCTACATCAAACAAAATGCCCTACATCAAACAAAATGTCCGACATCAAACAAAATGTCCTACATCAAAAAAATGTCCTACATAAAAAATTTCCTACCTTTCAAGCCCAGGTACACTGTCTTGTTTGCTCTACCGCTGTCAGACTTGACTATACACGTGTAGGACCCAGTGTCCTCTATCCGAGCCGACGGTAGGACCAGGACACGGTTGTAGTCCTTCGTGTAAGCCCGGGGGTGGAGGGGTCCGTCCTCCCGCACCCAAGAGTAGTAGAGGGGAAGCCTGCAGGCAGCAGTAGATGGGCTTGTCAGTTTGTGGGCTTGTGAGTTTGTAGGCTTATGAACCCAAATGTGTGTGTGTATGTGTGTGTGTGTGTTTGTGTGTGTGTATGTGTGTGTGTGCGCGAGCGCAGGTAGTTATGTGTGTGTAAGTATAATTGTCCACAGACATGTTTTCATTATTTTTGCCTACATTTCCTCATAGTCTTTATTCGAAAATATTTTTTTAAAAACTAATTATATTAATAAACTCATTAGTTTATAAAAAAATACTGCACTCACTTATGAGAGGAACAACTCAATCATACCAAAACATTTAACCAGTCATTCGCAGTAGCGACACATTAAGTTTTTTTTTAAAAATTAAATTAAAAGGGAGACATCAACGCTATACAAGTTCCATAGACTCTAGTTACCTCCCGTATGCCAGACATTCGATTTGAACCTCGTCCCCTTCCATTGGCACCAAGGGAAAGTACTGCGGAAATCTGTCTTGTATATCGGGCCCATAAGTGTTGGCATCTGCAATAAAAATGTTTTGTCTTCAAACCCGAGTCCTCTCATAATAATTTAGAATTTCATTGACATAAAAAAAATAAATGAAAGGGAGACATTTTTAGTTTTATAATTCGGGTCTACTGGCTATTCAAAAAAAAAAAAATAAAAAAAAAAATAAATACAAAATAAATAAATAAATAAATAAATAAATAAATAAATAAATAAATAAAAAATGAAGAAGGAAAAAAAATAATGTTCTCTAAAATCACTTCCAAAGACAGCTGGACAGTGCTTTTACAGTATAGTTACTGGGCTTTGAATGTCGTAGAAACATTTATCCTAATCTGTTTCATTTAGCGGTTTCCAAATGGAAAATACACCAGAAAATTCGCTGATATATGCAAATATATATGGAATTTACCTGATTTATAGTTTATTACTAGATGCGGTGTTTAAATAACAATTTTTTTTTGGTTTGAATATAGAATTGTTATTACTATTTCTCATTTTAAAAAATTATTCAAGGTAACCAAGGGACATAATATCTAAATTTGTTCATAAGATTCTTAAAAGCACATAAATAAATAAATTAAAAGAACAAGCAAAATTTTTTATTATAAAATGTTAAAATTATTAAAATTTGTAAAAACTTTTTTATAAATTGTTTTTACTTTTACGTTTTAGAAATAATGTTTGACTATAGTTTAAATAGGAAACCACTATCCAATTTAACTAATTGTTCTTATGAATAAAAACAGTTCATTGTAATAGTGTTCAGGCTTCATGAAGATTACCGTTTTTATAATAAAAGTTCCGAATCCTTCCCCAAATTCAAACTAATGATTAACTACTAATTAATCAATAATAAAAAATTTCTGGTTTGAACAAACTAAGACTGAAGTATTAGGTCATTTAAAGGAGGTCTGACTTTCTTCTAGACCGGCGGCCTCCAAACTACAGCCCGCGAGGTCCCCTCATCCGGCCCGCGGAGATCCCCTTTTCCACGGAAAAAACGTTTGTTGGTGATGGCTGAGGAACTTTGCCAAGAAAAATCAAAGACATGCCTGGAAGAAACCGTCCCCCGAACTGAAATTTGCTAGTTAATGCGGCCCTCGGATTGAAAAGCTTGGAGACCCCTGGTCTAGGCGATGGCGTGGTTGCAGTGGTGGTGGTGGTCGGGGGGGGGGGGATGTAAATTATAAAAAGTGTGACCTCATTTTCGGAAGAGAACCCCCCATGTTATCGCCAAGATTTGTTGTGGATTAAAAAGTGTGTATATTAACGCTTCCTTTTTATACCATGTTTTTGTGTGTGTTGAAAACAACTATGTCTCGTATACTTTGGTTTGAATGTTGATACATGTTTCTCTATGTTTATCATGCTAATTCAGTGACGTAATGGGAAGAGCAGATCACTCCTGGCTTACTTCCGCCCTTCACCTTGAGGGGTATACCCAAGGACGTCCTTGAGGGCGCCTGTGACAAGGTCATGTCCTTTCCATTCCCTGGGGTCATGAAGACAATACAGAAATATTCGGCTCTGGAAGAAGAAAAAAATCATGCTAAGTCGTACATATAGGATAACTGTACTGTTACAGTCATTAATTGTACATTAATAATACATTGCTATAAAGATTTTGTTGTTATAAATATAGCCATAGCAAAAGAACGACACTTATACTTATATGTTATTGTGACCATATCTAAACTAATAAAATTAAAAAACTATTTTAATGTTCTATTCTTCTTCTTCGTTCTTAATTTTAGTGTTGGAAGGGATCTCCTCCAACACAATTAAGTATACGTGTCAACTGGTTATGCGCCATTGAGGCAATTTGATTTCAGCCTACTTTTCTTTTTGAGTTTGTTTCCATAGCCTTTGTACAACCAAGAACTAACTACAAGGCAGCAGTTGTTTGATTTCGGAGTTGTCTCTCCTAGAAGAGTGGCTGTCCCCAGCTAACGAGCCTCATCTGCTCGAGGGTTCGAACTCGAGACTTTTTAGCAACCATGAGCTTTACCGACTCGACCACGCCGATAGCATTATTTTATTGCTGAAATTGGACAAAGAATCGATGCTGTTCTTGCTGGAACATAAAACATAGCTGTGGCTCTATAAATGTGATCAAGTTCCTAGTCCTGGTTCAGCCTTAACAGAAAATCGGAGAGCGATACCAATTCAAATAATCGATTCCCGAATTGTCCACCCTCTCATTCCCAGTCAACACTTAACCATAGTTTAAACCTTAACGTCCCAAAAGACGATGGACACTTCTCAGCGGACCAAGAACTAACCCTGAATTAAACCCTAACAAATACACAAACCCTTAAAAACACTCGACTTACTGGTCAGCATGTCAAAAACCTAACCCTGAATTAAACCCTAACGAAAACACAAGCCCCTAAAACACTTGACTTACTGGTCAGCATGTCAAAAACCTAACCCTGAATTAAACCCTAACAAAAACCCAACCCCCCTACACCTCCCCCCCCCCAAAAAAAAAACACCCTACTTACTGGTCAGCATGTCAAAAACCTAACCCTGAAAAAAACAACACCCGACTTACTGATCTGCAGGCTGGACCTCTGAGATGTATAGCCTCCCATTTCTAGACAAGAAGTACTGGGCGTTGAACTCTGGTTTAATGAAGATCATGTCTGTCTTGTACCAGGTGTAGCTTAGCTCTGTAGAGACAGTGATATGCTGTTTTAATATGGGGCTGTGCTTTACAAGCGGAAAGCAGAAGTTTAGGATTAATAATAAGCGTACTTACAAGAACCCACAATGTTTCTATTATTTTCTAGTATTTATACTCCATAATATCGTAAAAAAAGGGGACTCTGTTATATTTTGCCAATATTTAGCTGCTTGATACAATAATAGAACATTTTTTAATTAATTATTTAATTATTTATTTATTTATACTTTACGGTGACGAAACAGTTTTGGGGAATCGAGGGTATGCGAATAGTGAGATTATGACTGTAATTTTACTGTGTGCGGGAAAATAAAATCCAGTTGGAAAATGTAATGATTACATGCTAATGATCCATTCATATGCATAATTTATTTACCAAAACATTAACTCTACTTCACCTGTCCCCTTTTTGGTCAGGAAGGGATCTATATCCAACAGCGTTAGAGACAAATTACCATCTGAATTATCTCGACGTTATTGAATCTCACTATGGAAGGAGGTATAAAAGTTGACATACCTGTGTTATGGGCAGGGGGTTGACACGTGATCTCTATCCCCATGTACATGACGGCGTCTATGATGCTGGGTTGGACGTTTGAGAACTGACCTACATCTGGAAAATTATGTGAGTGGGGGGGGGGGGGGTATGTGGTCAAGTAGGCTACACAATTAACATACTTAAAACACATGTCAACACACCCTAACACAGTTTTACATAAACATGCACAATGCACACGCTAATTCTTCCACCATAGCAAGTTCTTATATACGAATGTACTCACTTTAGCATTGAAATAAGGTAGAGAAGGGGGTGTGTGTGGGGGGGATTATCGCACCGGTTAACACCCGTACTAGGAACGCCATTGTGACATAAAATGCTCCTACCTCACCCATACAATACACATCTATTGACATGATTCATTCTTTAACGTTACACATGTTGTATAAGAATTATGTATATTAGTTTAAAGAAAAACTTAACATTTAATTTGAAACTTAACAATAACATATAAACAAAAACTACAAAATAACTATCTACAATGAAAGCAGTACTAACATCCATACGAAACTTGAATAGGGTTGGACAAGGCGGTTCCTAAAGGGTTGGAAACCTTGCAGGTGTAAATACCAGAATCCAACTTTTGGTCGGGCTGTTAATGTAATGGTCAAATTACCACACAAAAAAGAGAAACATTTTATTAATAAATCATTATTTTTAAAATTTAAGAAGGCAGTGTTATTATTACACTATCACTTTTAATATTTTTAACACAATCAAAATTTTTAATATTTAAAAGAACATTCTATTTAAGTTTTTTTTTTAAATTACATAACAAATATATTGTTTCAATAAGTGACTATAAAAAATTAACTAAGTAAAATTTGCATTTTAGAATCAAATTAAAATCTAAACGAAATGTACATCATAGCAACTGAAACCTTTTAAAATAACTACAGCAGACAGAAGACGCTCACTAAAGCTTACGTTGGTGATTGTAAGTCTCCCATTGGAGATGGCGTACCTCGTGCTTACGTCCGGCGTGATTTCCGTCTTCATGTTACTGGGGATTGTTCAGTTTATATTTTCACAACCACAAATAACAGGAACATAATAAATAGCCCTATTACATATTGAGAAATAAATACATTTTCTATTCTTTGTATATTTCATAGTAACATATCAAGCAGGCATGGTTATTGTTTGCACGGATATATATATATATATATATATATATATATATATATATATATATATATATATATATATATACATAAACACAGATATATATATAATATTATATATATATATATATATATATATATATATATATATATATATATATATATATATATATATATATATATATATATATATATATATATATATATATATTTATACATATATATATATATATATATATATATATATATATATATATATATATATATAGTAAAAGAAAAGTAAGTATGTAACTCACGAGCTGTCAGATCCCCTATACCAACGGTATTCAGGTGAGGGGTTACCTGAGGCAACACAATCCAGCACCACCGTGGTCGTACCGGTGCCGTATTCAAAGAACACCACGTCCCTGGACTGGTAGGTGATGTTTGGCGCCATCTGTAGTAGGCTGACGTCACTGATGCCAGTACCGTAGGCTGTAGGAGGGGGTGGGGGGGGTTCGAGGGTAGGGATGCAAGGTGAAAATGGTATTCAATGAATAGTTGGCACTAGAAATTTTTTTAATAATTTCTGTGTTTAAATAAGAAAACAGAACTTTCAAGATTTAGGGAATATACTTGTCAACGTTAACGCTGAAATAGCCATCAATTCGTAATTTCTTTTTCTTATCCCATTTAGAATACCCCAAGTAATATTTGATATATCTGAAGATTTGGAACATATCTTTTATTGAATGTCGTGGATATTTTTATATATATTGTCTGAGAGATTCTTCTGCACAGTATTGAAATCTGATAATATTTTGTGAAATCCTATCACTCAATATAAAATGTACTCATCAATTTTTCAGAAACCTCACCATAAAACTTTGATAAACAATATTTCGATATTTGTAAAACACAATCATACAATATTTTAGATATCTCACTTGCAATATTTTGGATTTCTTACCAAGCAATCCTATGATTTTCCAACCACATGACAAACTAAATACCCCACAGTTCAGTGTAAAGAACTTAATCCAACCATCCAATATTTTGAACACCTCAACATATAGTTGAAAAAAAAATGCTCACTATAAAGTAAATTGAAATCCCATTATTCAATATTAATAAAAACCCATCATCCAATATTTTAACCCCCCCCCCTCCCCCCTGTCCTACCTCTCCAAATTCCCCACAAATTTCTCTACTAGATACAAATGTACCTACAGAAGTCCCGAGCCTGCTGATACATTTTCCAGGTGTTTACTTTGCTCATCTCGCACACGAAGTAGCCTGGCTCGACAAGACGCATCCATCGCCAGCGGTACTCATTCAGGGAATCTGGAGAGGAAAGGTAAAATAAGTCCAATAGAAAACTTTGCAGGAAATCGTGTTTTAGGTCTATTTTAAATGGTACACTTTATTTTAAAATAAACCGGGAGTGATCTCCCCTAAATTTTCTCGGATATTCTTATATAACACTACGTGCAGTAGCGTACGCAGGGGGGGGAGCAGGGGGAGCGGCCGCTCCCCCTCTGGCCATTTTCAGCAAAGTGGCGCCTTTTTGGAAAATTTTTAAACTCAAAGTTTTAAACAATGTTATTTGTTAAAAAATATTTTTGGTCGGCACATCTGTCTAAATCACAAGATTTCTTTTCATGCAGCAATTAAGCATTATTGTACTAGTCTAGTAGTGTCTACGTTTACAACACGTATTAACAGCTGCATCAGTTTGCCATTCTAAAAATAACCATTACGATGCATTGCAATGTTTAAAAAACCTCTACGGGTAGTACCGCTTGGCAAGAGGGGTGTTAAGTTTAAGGCAACTGTATAATGTATTTGCTTACGAATAATTGAATTAGAAAATGTTATACATGAAACTTCACACATAATTACTTTATATATACAGTTTGAATCGTGTGATTAATTTTTAAAAAATTACAATACAGAAACAAATACAACTGATGTGGCACCTCTATTTAAATTTACTTATGGGCAAACTGCGTAGCGGTGGGGAAATTTTGACACGATGAAGTAGTAGTATTCTTACAGTTTGTGCGATAGTGATTACGATTACAAATTATATGAAACAGTTACAACCCCCCTCCCACATAGACCCTCTGTAAAAAAAATATTGTCATAATACCACTGCTACATATTTAAATCTATTTCTGAATCAGTATACATGTGTTAAATTTTGAGTAATTTCCATTGACCGGAAGTAGTAATTTACGCTACTTCCAATTTCTCAAAAAACTAATGTAAATTTTTAAAGTACTAATAATATTGCGCACTATTATGCACTTTTTTATTTGGCGTTAACTTGGTGTGCAATTCTTTTGTTAACGAGATTTTATTCTATTTTTAAACCTTAAATTATTTAAAATGGATTATAATCATGTCTATAGCCCGAGTTCCTGTCCCCTGTTGTTTTATATAAGGATATTCGAGAAATATATATATATATTTTTTTTTTCAAAATTTATATATATGAGAATAATAAACAAATTATACATTTAGCATTTTCCATTTTATATATATATATATATATATATAGGTCTAGGTCTAGGTCTATGTATGTTTAGAACAGTCATCTAAAAACTGACGATATGTTCACTCTGAGTTGGTTATCTCCCCCCCCCCCCCACCTCACCACCACAATTGTGTATAGCGACATTAATGTCACATCTAGGTATACACTGGGTTGGATAATTGACCTTAAGTGACCCGACAGTGGTGAATGAAGTTGACCCCCCCCCCCCAAGCCACCCCGAACTGATCTGTTAAGTACATGTAGAAAAACGCGTAATGATGTACCAAAGTACCATGCCGCCAGAAAATTAGCTTTTTAAACGTAAAACTCTGTGAATATTGTTTTTGCAATTACCAGTAAAAAGGTGTGTGAGCAATACAGTGATCTAACCCATACCTATCACTATATTAAAAAATCATCTTTAAAGAACACAAAGAAGCAGTCGTTAATTAAAATATATGATCTGATCTAAAAAAAAACGATATTTAGTTAAATGTAGGCTGTTATTCCGAATGTTCTTCTATTAAATCGAAAAGCGTGGTTTTATACCAACTCTAATTTCAAAAACTTTCATTATGCTGTAATACTTTAGCATTTATGGTGAAGATATATTTAATTCTGATTATAGACAAAAACATTTTTTTAAACATGAATAGTGTTAAATAATTTCATTATATTTTAAAGTAATTATTTATTTGTTTTGACATTTATAATTAAATGTGTAGATTTATACATATTTATATTAAGAGAGTGATTATTTCCCCTATTTTACTTGTCTTAAATAATTTCCCAGGAATTATTATGTAAGAAATTTTTTTTACAAGAATTACAAAACAGATTGTGTTACGTTCATTGTTTTTGGTTGTAGTGTGTGTATATTTTGTTTGTTTTTTTTTTGTTTAGATTGATATAATTTATGTTTTGTCGGCCTACAATATGGGTTTTTTCTTATTTCTTCAGAGTGCTTCTTTCAATTTATTTTACATCATAGCGAAGTAATGACATACAGAAAGTAATTATATATATATATATATATATATATATATATATATATATATATATATATATATATATATATATATATATATATATATATATGTATATAATACACGTATATAGAACGTGTTAAAAATTCGGCGCCTTTTTTTGCACTTTTCGCTCCCCCTACAATGAAAACCTGGATACGCCTCTGACTACGTGTGATGACAACTCGGGATATAGACATGATTTTTAATTACTTAAACTTTTAAAAATAGAATAGAATCTTTTAGAAAAAAGAATAGCGCACCAAGCGAACGCCAAAACAAAATGTGCATAATAGTGCGGAATAGTATTAGTAATTTATAAATTTACATGCGTTTTTTGAGAAATCGGAAATAGCGTAAATTACTACTTACGGTCAACGGAAATTACTCAAACGTTGTTAGAAGGCAGATAATTACATCTTTTACTTAAATGCAAACCTTCATTTATCTATCTAAAATAGAACTCAAGTTAAAGGTTTTTTAAAAATTCAAAGTAGAAAAGTTCCACTTCCGGTTATCGGAAATTGCTCAAAAGTTGATACGGAGCTACGATTTTGTTAAATACTTATATATGAAATTTCATCAACCTAGCTGTTACGGTTCTCAAGTTATCGTGTTTAAAGACACACACACACACACACGGACAAGATTGCTAATTCATGTTTTTCCAACTCAGGGAGGTGTAAACTTCGAGATTTGATTTCTCTACAATTTAAGCAAACAGTAATAATATATACAATATGGTTAAACTATTTCAAATAACAATTTTTTAAAATAAACAAAAAAAACACCAAAACACGGTTTTCTTTAATTTATGTTAAATATTCGTTAATTACTAAAATCTCAAGCGAAGACAATATAATAATTATTATTATAATGGAGGTAAATAGTGAAATTCTGACAACGTATCGTAAAAATTGAGTTATGTCCCCTGCTAACCTGAGAACTTGTATGCAATGACGTTGTACTCGCTGCCCGTGGCCGCGTCCTCGTACGTCCGTTCACGGCTGGCGTCGTCTGGGAAAAAATCCGTTTTGATCGGACTCTCATCCGACTCCCAGAACATTCTACCGGTCAGGTCTCTGTATCCGCTGGTTAGCCAGGGGTGTCTGTGTGGGGGAGAGGGGGGGGGGGAATAGGATGTTTAGTGAAATTGTAAATGGTGTGTTGGTAGATATAGTGGATATATATAGATGTTATGGATCTCGGGTTATTATATAGGATGCTTACGTACATGAAAAGTCTTAGTTTTGTTGTTATAATTGTATATTTTATTTTGGTCAAAACAAATATTACGGGAATGGCGTGGTCGAGTGGTAAAGCATACGACGGCTAACCCGAAAGATTGAATCCCGGGCTGGTCTGTTAGACGTCTCTGTGTCCATTTAACTTTGTTAGAAAAACAAAGGCTGCTGGACAAAGTGCCGACCACACAATCCCTCATATGCCGAGGTAATTGAAAGAGATGAAATCTACTTCATCTATACCATGTGTATTTGCAACGAACGGGAAAATTTGTTAAAATGAGAACAAATATTCCGGTAAGCAAAAGGCGTTAAATTTTCATGGACGTAAGAATTATTCACTTAAGTTAAAAGTGACTATCTGCGTGCATGTAACAGATATTCGGGAAAATTAGGACTGTCTAGACAGAAAAGCATAGCGTGTTTAATTTTCGTGGATAGAAGAAATACAAGAGTAAATTATAGTTGATTATTTTTTTAAGTTATTGTGGATATACCATTCAACAAATACAAAAGTTAATTATAGTTGTTTTGAAGATTTGTGAACTTTTAAAATATACAGGTTAAGTATTGATGTCTAGTTATTACTGAAGTCAACAACAATACATGTAATGCAGCATTGTCATGAGGTGTAGAAAATACAGGTAATTTATGGCACATCAGTGAGCTATAGTGGGTTGAAGGCTGGAACTAATATACAGGTAGGCCTACAGACGGGCTGTACTTTTTGGATTATGGCAGCGCGTTCGTGCTGTCGAGGGGATATCTAATTTACACAATTACAGGTAAAATAACACTGGCTTTTTCATTTCTCGCATGCAATTCAAGACAGTGATTATAAAATGAACGAGGTGTTTGAAGATTGAAGCGTTTCGTATGGCTGATACATCGTTCGAATGTCAAAAAAATAATATAAATATACACACACATACACACACACGCAGACACACACAGACACACAGACAAACACACAGACAAACACACAGACAAACACACAGACACACACACGCACGCACGTACACACAGACACACAGACATATATATATATATATATATATATATATATATATATATATATATATATATATATATATATATATATATATATATATATATATATATATATATATATGTGTGTGTGTTCGGATACAGTCGTGTTCGAACTTCGAGGTTCGAGTGTACAATAAAACACCCACCGTCCCGTGTCGTAAGACGTCAGCCACTTCTGCACAAAGACGTGCTCATCAGCCGTGTCGATGGAGATCAGTGAAGCGTGAAACTGCTGGCAGTAGAAGGTCGCTCTCTGCTGGGTCGCTAGCTGGGTCGTCACGAAGTTGTAGCACTGACCCTGGTTCTGGTACCACCCGCTCGGACAGTCTGATGGTGGTGGGGGGGGGGGGGGGAGAAGGGACATCAGTGTTGTAATGAAGACTATACAGTTTTGTATAGAAACATAAACTCAAATTCATTTAAATTATTTCTGTTTATTAATTAATTAAATTAGATCTTCTTGTTCTTTTTTTAACCGCTGTTGAACAACCAGCATATTTGTTAATTTAAAACGTACCAGAAACAAACAAAGAAAACCACGGATTTAGAAATAATGAAGTTTTTAAAATTTTATAAAAAGTCACTTTACACTAAGCTTATCTTAAATTTGTTATATTAGAAAAAAAAAACGAAAAAATAATTCGATATTTATTATGTTACTTTAAAATTATTATTTAATTATTATTGCTTGGCTATAATCTATAGATGTAATTATCATCTTTAGCTCAGAAGATAACACTTAAATTCAAAAAGCCATGGGAGCTGTAAGAGCTGTTTAGCTGTGAATCTAACCTGACCCACCATCGACAGCTTCCGTTTTAGTGTCCTGCACCGTCAAAGCCAGGAGCATGAACCACAGACTTCCCAGCATGATTCGTTCCCACGACCTCTAGCTAGCAGTCACCACTGTAGTATCATTCGCCACTCAAGGCCCGAACAAATCTTGCACTAAGACAGACACAAACGGACAAATTAAACAACAACAACAATGGGTTTGTGCTAATACGTCAACAAAACTTAGACTTACATAAATATGTCAAAGCTGATGATAAAAAAATTTCCGGTATTTATGTGCGATTCGTTTTAAACTAACGATACCACATGAAGGTATCGATACAACTTTTACAACAATAATCCATGAATAAAATTTTTTTAAATTTTAGTGTAATTAACGTGACATTTTTTTTTCCAATGTTTAGTACGGTAGGTATCAGTTTGCAAGCTCTGTTAACAAAAGCAGGTGGATTGTTAAAATAAAAAAGAATATCTTCGTTTAAGGGAAATTAATAAATGTTGGACTAAAATCAACGCGTGTAATCATTAAATCGACTCCTACCATCGATATGACATATATATTAGCTGTTATGGCTAATTCAGCATCAACCCTAGTTATAGTCTGAACACAGAAAACATAATCGGATCTTTGTTGTAGCCATGCGCTCAACCGGCTACAAGACATTACCCCTCGGAAATTACCCCCCGAACATTTCCCCCCGTATTTACCCCGGAGCTAATACCCCTGTCAATTACCCCCATGTCAATTACCCCCCACCCCGGGAATTACCCCCCCCCCCCCTCAAGTTAGAATCCTAACTCTAACTAGAATTCTCTACATATATACTACTTTAATCCTAACCTTAAGAAAAAGACCAAAAGCAAAGCATCCATCTTAGCTTATAACGTAACACAAAACCAAAACCAATGCTAGACATTGATTTAAGCCTAGCCCTAGCCCTAACCTTAACCTTAACCCTAACCCTAGCTCTAACTCTAACTCTAACTCTAACTCTAACTCTAACTCTAACCCTAACCCTAACCCTAACCCTAACCCTAACCCTAACCCTAACCCTAACCCTAACCCTAACCCTAACCCTAACCCTAACCCTAACCCTAACCCTAACCCTAACCCTAACCCTAACCTAGACCCTTACCCTTACCCTTACCCTTACCCTTGCCCTTACCCTTACCCTTACCCTTACCCTTACCCTTACCCTTACCCTTACCCTTACCCTTACCCTTACCCTTACCCTTACCCTTACCCTTACCCTTACCCTTACCCTTACCCTTACCCTTACCCTTACCCTTACCCTTACCCTTACCCTTACCCTTACCCTTACCCTTACCCTTACCCTTACCCTTACCCTTACCCTTACCCTTACCCTTACCCTTACCCTTACCCTTACCCTTACCCTTACCCTTACCCTTACCCTTACCCTTACCCTTACCCTTACCCTTACCCTTACCCTTACCCTTACCCTTACCCTTACCCTTACCCTTACCCTTACCCTTACCCTTACCCTTACCCTTACCCTAACCCTAACCCTGACCCTGACCCTGACCCAAACCCAAACCCAAACCCAAACCCTAACCCTAACCCTAACCCTAGCCCTAGCCCTAGCCCTAGCCCTAGCCCTAGCCCTAACCCTAACTCTAAACCTGTCCGGGGGGGGGGTAATGTCCTTCTGTGTGTGTGTGGGGGGGTAGTTGACAGGGGGGTAACTGACAACGGGGTAATTACTCCGGGAGGTAATGTCAGGGGGGGTAATGTCCGGGGGGAGGGAGATAATTTACGGGTGGGGAAATGCTCTGTTCCCCCTCAACCATAATCCTAACTCTAACAATATACCACGGTACGGTTTAGTCTGGAAGGGGGGGGGGGGGAGGCTGGGGTAGAGTAATTTTTCGTTAACCTGAAAGTCTCTATATTTTAAATTTTTGTGCTCGAGTCCACCCCCTCCCCCTCCCTCCTTCATCTTGGATTGATATTTACAATACAACTTCTTCATATGCCGAGGTAAAATAAACAGATGGAATCTATTTATTTTTATTTCTATTAAGTTTTTTTACATCATTTTACCAGCAGAAAAAAAAACAACAGCAAAACCCATGTAACATACAGCTAGCTAGACACAGTACGGTAAGTTATTTTAACGACTTGAAAAGAAATACGTAGACAGACACTCCCGTCCAATTTATCAAAACAAGAACACTGAAAACAAGCAATATTTTATAGAAAACATTTGCAAGAAGAAGCAATATATCTTTCCTGTTTATCGCGTTAAGTAGCAAGCGTAGAGTGGTGAAGAGTGGGGTGGGGGGGGGGTGTAGGGAATATGTGGGGTGGGGGGTGTTGTAGGAAATACGTGGGGTGGGGGTGGGGGGATATAGGGAATATGTGGGGTGGAAGTGTGGACTGTGGGGGAAAAGGTTTGACAGAAGTCATTGTGTCAACGTCGACTAGAACTAACACGGGAGTTATTTTTATTTATTTATTAAAAAAAGTACAACTGAAGTTTAATTTCATTAACTCGCACAATAAAACAATTTATAACAAAGTTGAAAGAACTACAAGAGAAAAAAAAAACAGTTAAGAAGTTTAAAAAAAAATATTGTTATGAGTTAGCTCAACTACATTTTATTTTGGTATGTTTACAGCCGCAAATATACCGTATAAAAACATCGACCATCACACAACACAATGTTTCATACTTCGTGCAACAGTATCAGTGTTTCTTCTAGACTTTTTTCTCTGGGGGGACAGGGGGAGGGGCTGACTATAATCTTTCTATATAAATTATAATTAGTTCGGGGGGAGGTTGGGGCGGTAGACGTTTTTCGTAGAGGGGCGGGGGGGGGGGGGCCTCCCCCACACCTGAAGGAAGAGATAACTGGAAGGAAACTCTGAACAGTATGTATGTAAACAAAATAAACTTTAAGCATGGAACTAAACACCATTTAAAACAGGACACAATACACAAATCTAAGCATGACAAAATTTCAATAACACAAAAATACACCACTTTAATGATGTTACCAAACATCAATCTAAGCATAACACCTAAACATCATACAACCATACTAAGCCAGACACCCTAGCAGAACTTTCAAGTATAACACCATGCATAATACCACAACACCAATCTAAGAATTACACCACTCTATGACATAAAACAACAACACCAAGATAGGTTTTTTCAAACACATCGCCCTATACCTACAGCTACATATAACTTTCTTCCAACACAGAATACACAAACACCATTCTCCTATATTTACAGTTACATAAGAGTTTTTTCCATCATAGAATACCCAAACAGCATTCTTCTACGCTTACATTTACATAATAATTTCTTCTATTACAGATGATCCAAACACCATCCTCCTTTACTTACAGTTACATACAGCTTTCTTCCAATACAGAATACACAAACACCCTTCCCCTATACTTTGCAGTTATATAAGACTTTCTTCTATATACAGAATGCCCAAACACCATTCTCATATACCTACAGTTATATACAACTTTTTCTAACACAGAATACACATATACCATTCCCCTATACTTACAGTTTAAAATGTAATCCTTTCCAACACGTCGTCTTATAAATCCAACACAGATTTAATTTAATAACCTTAATTAATCCCACGATAATCTACTCCGAATCCTGTCATATAAAATAACTTGTCGTATAATTTTACTATCACGCGTCGTGATAATTTTTTTATAATGAAGTATGGAAAACAAAAATGTTAAAAATAATTAGGTTTAATTGAAAATTTAAAATTAAAACAACCTCAAAACGAGGTGTCTTCCATTTCAAAATTAAGTTTTATGCATACGCGGATATTTATAATACAGCCCGTAATAAGGGGAGGTAACTGAGCGAGGGGCACAACGCAAGGCTGCGCGACAATGTTTGCACGGAGTAGAGAAAAGGGCACAGATTTCAAGGTCACGTGATCAATCATTAGACAGCAGGAGAAACTCATTTAAAAGATTTTTTTACTATTAGCGTTACCCGTCTTCAGGAATAGACTCTTCCGATAATAGGTGTGTTAGGTTGTTGGAAATATTTTTTTATATCATGTTTAATGATAGTGTCAGAATTTATGGTTAAGGCTATGCTTGTGCTTTGGTTATTGTTTGGATTAAGGATACGGTTTGTGTTTACTTCGAAGAAGAATTAATATTAAGTTAGTTACTATAAAGCTTACACCCCTGCTTAAGAAGATTCCATTTTATTTTTTGGCATTAACGGACGCTGGTGTAGCGATTTTTTAAAACAAAATCTGTTGTTTTTTTTTCCTACTATTTTTCACAAAGGGATTCTTTATGTAAATAGTTACAAGGACTAGGTGAATCGGACAGAAGGTGAGGGGGGGGGGGTCTATTACATTTTCGTGGATTGTTTTTTTCTTAGGCAGTGGAAAGTATTTCCGTTTACTTAGTGACGAACGTAGGTACAAAGTTGGTTGAAATATTTTAATTGTTCTCTCCCTTGACAGGTTTTAATTGTAATTCCAGCGCCATGAAGGCGACCGCGGGAATTTTTTCTTACCTCACAGTATATGAGAGGGTAACTGTAGCATATGGTACATACAATGGTTTGGCTACAGCACAATCCATACCTACGTTATGTTCAAATATTACCTCACAGCAGGGGCGTAGCGAGGGGGGGGGGGGGCGGGGGGTGCGGACCGCACCGGGTGACACCATTTAGGGGGGGGTGACACCAAGGCAAAAAATAGTAAAATATATAGAGAAAAACTTGAGGGGTGGTGCAAATCGAAAGTTTGAGGGGGGGGGGGGGTGCAAATCGAAAACTTGAAAGTTTGTCCCCGGGAAGGGTCGCAACGTCTCTGGTGGGGGGGGGGGGGGGGTGACACCATTAAGTGCCGCACCGGGTGACACCCGACCTCGCTACGCCACTGCCTCACAGTATATGAGAGGGGCACACTGTAGCATATGGTACATACAATGGTTGGGCTACATCGCAATCAATACCTACATTATGCTAAAATCGGTAATTGGATTTAACAACAATCAATAATTTGATAATACAGTATTTTATAATCGCGCTGCATTAAAATTATTGATTGGGATCAACTCGAATTAATTACAAGTAGTAATCGACAAACACCATAGTAATCATTGGCGTAGCCAGGATCGTCTCAAGGGGGGGGGTCCAATTTTTACCCGGGGGCAAACTTCAAACTTTCGATTTGCACCCCCCCCCCTCAAACTTTCGATTTGCGCCCCCACTCAAACTTTCGATTTGTATTTGTAGCCCCACTCAAACTTTCGATTTGCACACCCCCCCCCCCCTCAAACTTTCGATTTGCACCCCCCCCCCCTCAAACTTTCGATTTGCACCCCCCTCATACTTTTTATATATATAACGAGGGGTCTATGGGGGGGGGTTATGACCCCCCCACTAACCCCCCCCTGCCTACGCCACTGATAGTAATAATTGGATTATATTACATTACATTCATTGATTGAATTACACCATGTAGTCATTGGGCTACCTCACAACACATGTTGTATATCTAGATAGTTGTACAGTTCAGATTTTTTTATGTACTGAAAAGCTATACTATCTCAATTGTATCACACTAATTTTCCTATTCCTTTAAACAGTAAACGTCTGGAGTGTGTAGGATATAGTCATGATTTAACAAGGACTAGAAGAAAGAAAATAGATCTACATATACAACTATTTGACAAAATCACAGGCGTATGCTCTGTAAAATTATTTGACACAATCTTGGTCGTGTATTCTATATTATCGAGGTCTAAATTCAAGCAAAGAGCTTTGTCTTTGATTAATGTGGACGTTTATTACAAGTTCGATGATTTTTGTGTATTGATTTTTGTTTTGAGTAAATTTAAATTTCTGTAGTGTGTGTGTGTGTGTGAGGGGGGGGGGGGGGTGATGAGCTTGTCGTTGTAAATCGATGAACGTCGTTAGGAAACAGGTGGGTTGATCAGTGCTAACCTGTTGCAAGATGGGTGAAAAAAATGCACATCATCATACTATATGTGCACAACATCATAGGCAGGTTACACACAGTCAGAGTGACATCCACACACATCAACAACAACATCAACATTTACCAGGATCACTACACATCAGCCAGCACACTGACAATATACCACATGACATACGGACAATAGCACCAACAACCACAACGCCAATCATTAATCCTCTACACCAGCTACCGCACCATCAACCACAACAACCGCCTCACCAGCCACATCAATCAGCGTCACACCAACAACCATTTACCAACCACGCCACTCAAAAAGCAGACACCAACAACGGCATCAAAACCAATCAATAACACAAACAAGCACGCCATCAACTACACCAACAGCCTAAGAGCCACATAAACTTCTGCGTGACCAAAACGCTCATAACCACAATACAACCTCAACAACAACCAAACAACCACCACACCAGCCTCCTCAACTACCACTACACTAGCATCAGTTCCAACCAGCACATCAAACACCACTCTAAATATCACACCATCAACCACATCCACAGAAGCAATGTATCATACTCGTTCGAACGCGTTTAAACGTTTGCCGTGAATTAGCCTAATCGTACACAAAAGTATGATTTCATTCAAATTCTATAACGGCAAATCAAGACACCAGCCACACAAACCACATCTGACTTTAACCTCACTCTACTTGACAAAAAATTAACCAATCCAATCAATATATTGAGCGTGAAAAAAATCCACATACACAACCAAACTCAAAACACATACTCCTTGACATACTCACAACAGTTCATAATACAACCACATAACACACACATGGTTGCCTTAAATCACACACATACACACACAACAGCTACTCAGGACACCCACACACACTACAGTGGTGGTTACACCCCCCACACACACATCATTTCATCGCACCCCACACACACTACGGCTACTCACACACACACAACAGCTACTTACTACACACACACAACAGCTACTTACTACACCCACACACACAACAGCTACTTACTACACCCACACACACAACAGCTACTTACTACACCCACACACACCCAACAGCTACTTACTACACACACACCCAACAGCTACTTACTACACACACACCCAACAGCTACTTACTACACACACACCCAACAGCTACTTACTACACACACACCCAACAGCTACTTACTACACACACACACAAAAGCTACTTACTACACCCACACACACAACAGCTACTTACTACACCCCCACACACACACCAGCTACTTACTACACCCACACACACACAACAGCTACTTACTACACCCACACACACACCAGCTATTTACTACACCCACACACACAACAGCTACTTACTACACCCACACACACAACAGCTACTTACTACAACCACACACACAACAGCTACTTACTACACCCACACACACAACAGCTACTTACTACACCCACACACACAACAGCTACTTACTACACCAACACACACAACAGCTACTTACTACACACACACTCACAACAGTTACTTACTAAACCCACACACACAACAGCTACTTACTACACCCACACATACACAAACAACAGCTACTTACTACACCCAAACACACAACAGCTACTTACTACACCCACACACACACACACACACACACACCAGCTAGTTACTACACCCACACACACAACAGCTACTTACTACACCCACACACATAACAGCTACTACTACACCCACACATACAACACCTACTTACTACACCCACACACACAACAGCTACTTACTACACCCACACACACACATTACAGTTACCACGCATCACACACACACTACATTTACTCACCACACCCCCACACACTATAAACAAGAACCAGACAAACACAATACCTCACAATATACCAGGCATCATACAACCACTTATCATACACGAACTACAACCATAAAATCTCAACTACACGCTGAACCACCACTGACTAACCACA